TGTCCATTCTTATCGTTTAAAGAACCCTACTTTGTTTCAATTGTTTTAATGCTACACAATATTCTGTGTTAAGAGGATGTCAGCCAGCATCAATGATAAATCAATCCCCTTGGTCTTTATTTGCTATGATTTTAGAAAATAAGTATTTATATATTATATTTATATGCAGACACTAAATCCAAACACTAATTCAAAACCGATTCCGGAAACCGGCATAAACCGTTATAAAACCGAAACCGAAAACAAAATCAAAAACGAAATCTGAAAAAATTGGAAACTGGTAGGTATACAAAATCGAAACCAAAACCGAAATTTCCTAATACCGGTATTGAAAAATTGAAACCAAAATCGAAAAAAATATAAACCGGTATACAAAACCGAAACCGAAATTTTTTCAATCGTTTTCAATCTAAATTTTGTTTAATATTTACTGGATTAATGTATTTTTCAATTTAGTAAATAATGTAAACAAAAAATCAGTTAAAAGGTAAATAGCCTGTTATTTCACCACTGAAAATCCGCTATGTCACAGCTATGCTACGAGTTCGTACGATTTCTATCCGATTCATATTCCATCGTGCTGTTCTGTATGTGGGCCTCCTCGATGCACCAATGACCAGCAAGACACAGATGTCTTACTGATTACTGAAAATTTGTAAATTAATTGTAATATAGAAACAAGATAATATTTTTAGATTAAAATAGTAAATACCAAAATCAATAGGTATATTATAATATTATTATGGAATAGTCTAGTGTAGGGCTTCTGAAACTGTGTCCCACAAAACCTGCGGTTCTGTGGAAATCAGTTTAGGGTTCATCGAAACTTTCATTAAAATTAAAATGTATAAGTCCTGTTTGTCTGTTATCCTTTCTTAAAATCTGACTATTGAAACAAATTAGGGGTTCTAATTTTCAAGCTGGAATAACGTATTGTTCAAGCTAACTAAAAAAATCCAAAAAGCTAAATAAAAAGTAGGGGTTCCACGATAAAAGTGAACATCATAAACACTTGTCTAGTATATTTCACGTAATCAGGCTATCAGCGGTCTTATTTGTTTGGAAAAACTACATTCGTATTTTTTTATTATGAGTGCAAACTATGAAAATATAAGTACAGAAGTCTAAAATTAGTATTTTCAATTTATCAAATTAACAAAAATAATTTATATTGTTAGATGTTCTAATTAGGTAGTAATTATTATAGTAAAAATAAATATTTATGATACTGTAATATACTGGTAAAGTAATATGGTTTTTATTATATTGTTCTTAAATAACTTGTAAAGAGTGCTAATACTAAATATATATATAATGTTATGACTTAAATTGTTGAGAAGTAACTTGCTTACTAAAATAATATAATTTTTGTACTAAATGTATTATTGTATAATTGGACATTGATCCACATATTCAATGCAGAATTTATGGTGTTTAAAGTGTATACTGTACTGAATTTAGTGAGCACATTTTGGAAACCTTAAAGGGTGATGTGGGGGGAAAAACCCCCCACTTTTATGTATACTTTTCAATGGCCGATCCCCTCGCTATAACTATTCTTAAATACGCCCCTGACGTGAGCCGTCAGCGTACGCACAATGTTTGTTTTCTCTCTCTGGCCCACTCGCAACATTTACACAGTGTACAACAATAGTCTATTACAAATAATTATGAAAAACAACATGATAAAAATGTATTTGCATTTTAAATTTGCACGTACAAAATATGTACTTACATTGTTCCTGGTGCAATTAACTAGATAGAAACAATTATAAATTAATTTAATCCAAACGGCTTGTAAAGTTCTCTAAAAATATGAATTTCGTTCAAATATTTGCATCATAGAATTTTTTTTACAAGAAATGAGTGACGTTCATTATTAATATGAACACGAATCGTGAACGCAATGACCACCTGTCTGTATAGGTTGTGGTGAATTTTGCGACCCGATCCCTTTTTACCTGTTAAAATCACAACACGACTGGGCAATAAAAGATATGTCATATGTGTTTATAGTATGCATAATAATCTATGATTACACATATTATAAAATGTATGATTGTGATTCAAATTATGTTTTTTTTTATATGAACAAAAAAAAAATACTTATTATTATTTGTTTTTAAAAATATTTATCAAGTTTCAACTGTATAGTTAACTAGTAAAAAGTCCATAAACAAGCAAAATTAAATTTTAACTGATTGTCTGAGCCTACATAAATAAAAAAAGGGCAGTTGGAACCGCTCTGCAGCAGTTAACCACTATCATAATTTATGTGTTAAATTTGAATTCAATGAATTCTATGTATCATTGTAAACAACAAACGAATCTGAGTGCCTACGACGAGTCAGCTTAGCATATTGTGTTTTATTTTAATATTGTTTTTATTAAGAATAAATAATAATATAGGTAGGTTGAATTAATTTTTATTTTTAAACATTGTGTTTGCATACCTACCTATTTTCTTAAAGTGATCAGTGATTTTTGGTTATAGTATAAACTATTGAACTACTAATAATAATATTAGGGACATTGAATTAAATGTTCAAGACTTAAGTATAAAAATTTAATATTTTATAAATTTCTAACTAAAAATGAATTGTGGTTTTGTCGAAATTCGAATTTTAGATGATCAAAAGAAATAGTCTCATGAGGGAACCTTGTATTAGGTTTTCAAGCTTCTTGACCAAACGAATAATTTTTTTTTAAATAAGAGAATTATATATGATTTTTGAAACGACCAAATGAGTTACTTTCCCTAACTAGCAGTTCTATATAAAACGTATAGAATTTATTTAAATTTTAAAATAAAATATTTATATTTAAATATTGACAATATTTGTATGTTACCTATGTATAAAATTAACTGTATTTGAATGGCAACGCAAATAAATCGAATGCACATATTTTTTTTGTAGATACTAATACATTTTCTTCTAACCCAGAATTTTGGCTCTAGTGACGCACATATAATATTATTATGTTAGATAATAACTAAGTTACAAATTAAGTTATTTCTTTGAATGATATAATGACAACGTACAATACGTACGGATTTGCATTATGCCAAATGGACATTATGTCCAATGCCATACAAAATATCAAATGCGATGTTATTTGTACAATATTATTGTCGCATTAATTAAGTAGGTACCAACAATTGTTTTTTCGATCAGTCGGTAAAATTGGTGCACATTTTATCGAACCACTTCGTATACAATATTTTATTAATATTTTATTTCCCGGGTATTGGGCCACAAATGAAAAATATATTAATAAAGGATAACCGGAGATTGGTCCCCCATATTTCAACATATAGGTAAGTAGGTATAACACATTAACATACCTATACGAATATATACCTATATAATTTGAAAATTTTTTTTCTACATAAACTTAGTCAAATAGTTATTTATTTATTGTTTTATTATAATTAAATACTTAAAAATATTAATAATATTTTGAATGATTCGATATAGGTGTAACAAATTCTAATTATGGTTTTGTTCCCTTCTTCGTGTTTTTTTTAAATTTTATTAAGAATAATATATTTCTTTCGAATTAATTTTAATGCAAACTTGAAACATCTGCCTGAACTTCTTCTGCTAACTGAATTAAATAATAAAAAATCGTTCAAAATACGTAGTAGCTCTATTTACCGAGTCTACCTGTCTTAAAACATGTAAAATGTTAGTGGGCCACTAAATTGAATAAACGATTATTTTCCCGGTACTTGGCCAGTTTTGTTTTTAAACTAACATTTTAATAATTTTATTATTGCTACTATTTTGGTAAACTATCGCTGCTGCAGGTACATTCAGGGGGTCGAAATTCCCAATAGTTTTCAAAAGTGCAGGGTAAAACAAAAAAGAAAAATTATGAAAAAAGGGGAATTTTTATGCAAATGTTATTTTGTTTTTGGTGTACCTAACTCTAAAAATATACCTAGATACTAAAGAGTATAGATACATAACATTTTTATTGAATGCTTATATTAGAATTTTTATACATCATAAGTTTTTAAAAATATTTTGACTCACGTTGAGCTATTTATATTCATATGAAATTTTCAATTATTAGTTTTTTTTAAATAAATGTCGTTACAAAACTTGAATTAGAATACAACTAGTTGAACTTACCCATTTATTTCAATAAATCAGATGTTTAGAAGAATTGAATTTATATTTAACCAACATGGTCAGTTCTTACAAACTCCGGTTAAGTGATTAGTCTCTTTTAAGTGAATGTTAATGTTTATATATTTTGAAGGATACATTAAAATAACATCTGTAGAGAAAATTATATTCCATATAATTTAATATAAAGCATGTGTTAAGAAAAATAGTTTTATACCAGTAAAAAAAAAATAGTCAAATAAACTAAAGTGAAACTTGACTTGTTCAATGAATTTTGTAATTTGCAAACATTGAAACATCATTATAAGTAGGTTACTCAATACTTTTTTAAATATCTATATTTAATGTAATACTGTGATTATAACTTATAAGTATTTGATACTTTCAGTAGGTACCATATTTTGTAAATATATATATATATATATATATATAGGTATATATAATTTAGATGATATATAATCTTATATTTTATGTGTTTAAATGTAAAATATAAAATAAATTATATATTATTTAAAATATGCCATCAACAACAATAATAATGATTTGTATGAGAGTTTTTGAGTATATGTGTTGTGCTTATTTAATAAGTAATAAAAGTATAAAATAATATCAAGGCAATAAATAATATTATATTGGTTCAAAAATTGAAAAGGTAATTTATTTGCAGATTCTACAAACAATAATATTGAAGAAAGATCTAAAAGGAATACAAATAACAGATAATAAAATTCATAAAAGAGTTCCATATAAACGCTTAAAATATTATTATTTTGAATGAATTGGCTTAAGAATTAAAACCATACCTAATATTGTATATTTTATATAATCTTGAAATGTAAATATAATAATATTATTATGTAGTTATCAAGGGTTACAAATTGTATTTAACGTAGAATACGCCTTCATTATTTCAGCAAATTGACCAGATTCCTCATTATTCAAAGTTGTCAATGCTTGGTGATATGTAGTGGAAGCAAGTTGTAGTGACCCATACTTTAGCTCAAAGTAAATTCGTTCCATCCACAAATCTATAGATATAGTTACAGATAAAGTAATCAGATATAGGTACAATAATAAAACAAAAATAACTATATTCAATTCAAGTTAAGAAACATAGTTAGTAACGACCAGTTTCTGTGGGGCCATAGTCAGGCAAAACTCCTTTGTCGCCCCTAACAAGTAAACTATTAGTACACCTGCAATATAGTATTGCCTCGACAACAGTTCTTAACTTGAACAATATATAAAAATAATTAACTAACGGATATCGGTTTTACCAAACTGCATGCATGCTAATGTAAAATGCTGCCTAATCTTGCTGACGTCTATTATCTGTTGTCCAGTTTCTAGAGTTACCATAGTCTTGCACAGACTTGCATCACAACTGTTGTTTGTATTCAATAACAAGTATGCATTTCGAGCATCATTCAAAGACTTATTTTTGCTTAACCACAACAAATACTCATTTGCAACCTTTGGTTTTACATTGTCAGAACACACAGATTTATCTCCAAATGCCATGTTGAAAATATGCCATATCTGTGGTTTATTTGAAAAATATTCAATAATTATAAGCCATAAAGTGGATGAACATTTATTAGCATTTTCTTTAAATAACTCGTAAGCAATTAATTCATCTCTCTCTGAGAGTTTAAATTTTATATTCACTTCTAAGATAAGTGAATCATTCGGATAAGCTTCAAAGGCCCAATCTAAAATGTCCAGAGTCAATGAACCTTTTGAATTATATATCTAAACAACAAAAGTGGAAAGAATAGTAATAAAAATTAAAAGTGCAAGCTAAAAAAATACAATTTAAATCTCTTACCAAATGAATATAATGATTTGGTTTCAATTTATTTTTCTTGTGAGCGCAATGTATAGATTCTTTAATTAAATTGATTTTATGAAATTCTGTAATACCAGCATCAGATAATATTTTGATCATAGTGATGAAATACTTATCCCACATCTCATCTGTATCAACTATTGACAATGCAGCGTTATAACTACTAAGACATTTTCTAAAATACACATACACAATACACATCAATAAAAATAAAATAATTTAAGCATTGATAATTGTATAAATAAGTTTGTACATAATATTAAAGTTTTGATAGCTGTTGGTAGTTTCAAACAGTTCATTTAAAGCCAAAGTATCCCAATAATTTGGATCCCTGTTAAATGTAGTTGACATAAATCTGTAAAAAAAAAAATGATAATACAAAACTTTATTTTTGTTTGAAGAAGACACAGCCACATGAGTTGCCTACGTTTTTCAAATCAACAACATATTCAATGGGCTTTGATAAAAATCAATTTGGTGATGTTAGCTTTACTATTAGACTGAAATAATGTATTATCAAATTTAAAGGTAAGAAAATGATTTGTGTTTATACCTTGATTTTTAAACTATTTGAAATTTTAACTGAGATAGGAAGTAAAATATTAAAGTATAAAAATCAAATATCAAAGAAAAACTAAACACGGATACAGATATTGTTATAACTTTAAGGTTTGAAATAATAGGTAAATATTAACTTCAATATTAAAACTAACCAAACTAAATTGGTTCGGCTGAAAGCTAATTTCTTATGTTGTAATTCAATAAACAATAAAAATCTAATTACAAAGTACAAATATTGTTAAGAGATGAATCTTTATTTCAAGGCAAGTGGAAGTATAACAATGGTTATCTACTTCTAGGAGAATTACAGATGAACTTATACATTTCTGAATTAGAATCTAGCATTTCTGATAGGTACTGAAATAACAAATCAAAATTACGGTTTACGCGTACAGAGACCGTAGGTATTTGGAATGTGTTGTAGATGTGATAATATAGTGGAACGTTGATTATTCAAATAAGAAACCAAGCCACTTTGCTTCCAGTTATTCAAAGAAAAATTAAGCCAGGGACAATCTCTTTCTCAAAGCTTACAGTAGGTAGTTTAAATTGTCATGGCTAAATACACAATATCGTAATTCTTAAAACTAATTTTATTGCTTCTGAAACTCAAACTATGGAATATTTTTGGCGACATAAAAGTGAAAAACAATATAAAATCGCAAGGTGTCAGTAATTTCCTGGGAAGTGAACTTAAGAGGACACTGCTCGGTAACTTCTTGTCTCTATCTTACAAAGTGCGTAACATAGCAAATTTACACTCGGCAGATCACGTTTAGCTTTGTTGGTTTAAAAACTAGAGTGAATTGACATATTATAAAACTTGATGGTAACTGTGTTTGAATGTAGGGATTTTACTTTAATTCAATTTTTTAGGAAGTTTTTAGAATATAATATAATTATTAATGTTAATTAAAAATGCTCATAACTCTTTTAAATCTGAATCATTGTAATATTATTTAATAACTTTTTAATTTTTAATTTAATGTGTATTTTAAATTAATTTTTTTAGAATTAAATTTAATAAATACTTCTTTTGCTTGTTTTGGCTACTTAAAATGCTTTTTTGAGGATTTATTTCCGAGTTCTATTGACAGAGATACATTGTAATTAACTACTTATTGGACTTTTTTTAATATATTTTTAGTTTTGAAGATTGTAATACTAGTGCATTTATAATATTCGTTGGGTTTTTAGGCCAATACAAATTGTCTTATTAAATATTTAAATATATGAAATCTAAAGAAATTTTTGAAATACGTTATGTAAAATTATAGTTATTTAAAACAGTTCCCTAATCTTCTAATTAATTACACTGTACCTAGTACAACTGTAAACTGTTATGTACAACATGTTGGAAGTATTTAGAAATACAAATAGATTGTGTTATGTGCTCTTTTAAAATGTAATAGTTATTAAAGTTAATTCTTATATGAATAATAACTTAATATATTTTTTAAAAACATTAAAAATATTACTTTTTGATTTCTTTAGATAAATCTAAAGAAAAATGATATTTATTAGCTTCATGATACATTTGAAAGAAAAGATCAGTGTCCTCTTTCACATTTTGAACAGCTGATTCAAAAATAACTTTGGCTACAGAAACATCTAATTTAGGATCATATGAATTCAGCTCTTTTCCTGTTGAAAAAAAATATTAGAGTTATTATTTTTATTAAAATTGTTATCAACCTACATTTTATTAAAGTTATTATAGTTATTATCATTATACATTAGTACATTACAGTTAAGTCTTAATAACTTGAACATGGATAATTCAAATATTTTTTGCCCCTTATAGTATTTTTAAGTTATGTTTGAGATATATAACTCGAAAAGTACATAAATCTAATTTTTTTCCCTTTAGATTCAAGTTATTGAAACAACAATACTCGATTGTACATTAAATGTTTTAATTTAAACACCATAATACATTAATACTGAACTAGATATTACCTGAATCCGACACTTCTTGAATGAGAATTTTTGAATTTACAAGTTCATATTTAAAAGCTTCAAAATATAAATTTGATGAATACTTATGTGTTTGTAATCCACTAGTATAAATTTCTCTTGCTTTTTGGATATTTCTTAAAAATTTAATCTCTACTTCTACTGCAATCATATACAACGAATCTGAAATGCTACCATGTAATAACAAAGCACGGTTTATAACTTTCTGTAACAATGTTAGATTTTTCTGAAAAATAGAAAATAATATGTCCTTATGTGTTACAAATAAATATTAATTAAATGAATATTGTGCAATTGACATGAAATAGAATAAATCAATTATCAATTCATCATTAAGTACCTACTCTCACTGTTAGAAAGATGGTTATTGTTATTGTTATTATTATTGTTAATGTTATTACACGGAAATTGTTATTGTGTTCCGTTTAATAGAATAATATATAAACATAATACAGTTTGATATTTATATAATTTATTAATGTTACACTTAGGTAGTGATGTAATGTAAATAATTATTATCATTGTTTTTACTCACATTTTTTATCAGGAATTTGATGTATTTTTTCCAGAGTGGTAGATCATAACCCAAAAATTTAAGAGCCACATGATAAAGGAGATTGATTTGGTTATTGTGAAGTTTAATAAGTTTAGAATTATTAGAACTTGGATTCATCTAATGCAGAAAAAACATAATATATTATTATAATAAAAAACAGATAGTAGAATGTTAAAACTATTGTTGTTGGTTATTACCTTTATAACTTCCTTGTTAATAGATTGCAAAAAAGTGATGAAATTAGTAAAATGTGCCTTTTTTTTGTTCCGACGCTTCGCTCTCTTCTCATGATTTTGTAGTTCAAACATAATATAACTGTAAACAAAGGTATAGGTAACATAAGCAATAAACATAAGCACTTACGCACAATTTGTAACTAATATAATATTCATTAATAGTAGTTAGTATTTAATAGACGTCAAAGTTTTATAAAATATCACTATTTACCCCACACGATCATCTTCAAAGATAGAATTAAGTAATGGAAGTTCTTTATCTATAAACTTTTCCTTGCGTACAGATTCCGACATTCTGGGATAACAATCTGAATAATAGAAACTTTGTCACTTCACCGGATCGTTTTTTTTTTTTTTTTTGTTGCTACCTATTTAAATAAAACGATGTGCTGCAAAGTAATAAAACACCTACTTACACAGCTAACCAAAAGCTTATAACTTAAACAATTATAAGTTTTAACAATGGCCACGTCTAACCGCAACACTCACGTAGCACAAATGACAAATGGCGATTTCAGATAATATACAGATTAAACATCGGCCTATGATAATATGATGTCATTTTCTAGACCGAAACAGCTGTGGAACCACTGACTGGCGTCATCTCGCGGCCATTTTGGTTGAAAATCGATAAGTACTTCTGTCGTATGATATGCTATATATGTATATGTTACGGGCAAAGTACAAAATCTGGCGATGTGCTCTTTGCCCGGTCACTGTTGAATTAAGTTAACATTGTCCAGGCATTGTATACAGTATCCATTTAGATTTGGGAACCGAAGATTAAATATTAAATATATTAAAAATCATATTAAACATTAAACTGCATTTTTTAATAATCATAAAAAAACTTGAAATAGACGCTTCAAATATTAGTTGCCTTTTAATAGGTTTTAAATCTATTATCCAGTATGGTAATTCCTACTGAAGAATTCATATTTTTATCTAAAAGTCGTTTAACATGAACAAGATGAATAGGTATTATTTATTATTAAATTGAGGTTATTTTAATAGTTCTGTGTTAATCAGTGGCTTAAGCAGAATTCGTTTATTGGGGGGGGGGGGGTGAGTTACCATTTATATACTGGGTGATTCTTTTATCAAACAACACTCAATATTTTAAAAAGTGTATATTTTTTTGAAAATATTTTTTTACATACTTTCAAGTTGCTTATAAAACAGCGCTTTTACAAAAAAAATATATTTTTAAATATTTTTTATTCTTATAATTTTTTGAATGACAACATAGGGTTTTAATTTTATATTCAAAAGCAAAATATTTTTCTTAGTATTTTGATGCATGAAAATCGAATTTGGGCCGAATACTTAATGAGTTATAAGTATTTAAAGTTTAGACGAGCGGAGTGGAGTGATTCGGGGTTACCCCGCGAAATGTTTGTCCACTACACCGCTCATCAAACTTTGAATATTTATAACACATAAACTACTCAACCCAAATTCGATTTTCATGTACCTATCTAAATACTAAGAAAAGTATTCTGCTTTGGGATATAAAATTAAAACCCTATGTTGTCATTCAAAAAAGTAAAAAAATTATAATTATAAAAAATATTTAAAAATATAATTTTGTAATGAAAACGTTATGCGACTTGAAACTATGTAAAAAATATTTCTATAACAATTTACACTTTTTTTTAAAAATGAGTGTTGTTTGATAAAAGAATTACATAGTATACATATATGTGCATAAAAAATGTTTATACAAATGGTACACAACCGTGTAATAAAATGTTTTACTTATGGGGAGGGGTTAACCCCCATCCCCCCGTCGATACGAGTCCGGTGTTAATTGGTATATGTGCACATTTTTACGTTACTTGATCTCACTCTGTAGTTTTAAATCTTTTTAATTATTACCAAACATGGGGTGACTTCGGACAACACATTAACTATGCCCGGTCGCCCAGATCATATGATGTCAACAATGTGAGAGGACTCAGTGGCGTATTTAGGATTTTGTCATGGGGGGGATATGATTTTATCCAGTACTTATCAACTCG